AATAAAAGCATTCTAGTTTTAATTTAACCATTACCATACCTTGGCTCAAGTTATACCATAAAATTAGTGACATCCCCTGATTGCTTCTGATCGCCACTTTTAGGTTTGGTAGAATCTAATACAGAACAGACACCAAATGAACAATCCAGTATTTTTTGCAATTTTTAACAATTTTTTTCTGCTTTTCTCTAAAGAATTTAAGAAGTATATTGGAGCAATAATACGCAGATAGCGCAAACAAACAATAGGGATGGTGAATAATACGGCACCAAATATTGCGATATAGCAATGTCTAATGTCTCACATTAGGTAAATCGAATACTAAAACCGTGACTATTACTTTATATGAAGCAATAATTTGAATGACTATACTAGCAAAAGCAAAATTTTATTCCACAACGAATTGAACGTGATGTTAACTTCAAGAAAACTACGATGCACAAATAACTACATTTCTATACAACAGCAATGTAATCTAATTAATTCAAAATGTAAATAAGATAGTATGAACAAATTTCTTTGGAGTGACACAACCTAACTAAAAATCGTACATATTTCACAATGGATGTTGTGAGGTAGTCTTAGCCAGGTGGAAAATACCGAAAAAATAATCCGGAAGAGAAAACGATAAGAACTTTTGAGGGAGGATGAAGCCCTAAAAAATACGTATTAAGAATGTCGAGCCATAACCCGTACATACATGCCACTTGCCAGCCTTGCACTAATTACGTGCAAATAAATCAACCAAGCGTGAGTCAATGGAGCAGCTACAGCACCTCGGAAATAGAGAGAAACGCCTCAAAGAAATATAGTGAGGGATAGAATTTAAATACAGTGACTGTAGGTAAGTATATATAAAGTCACTGTACATTAAAAATATAACGGATGAGCTCTAGCGGCAAAAATAAAGAACTAAGGTAATAACAAATCTACTACAAAACTAAGTTACATGTTAACACAACGCGTTTACAAAGGAAATACCTAGATGGCGTCAGAATTCAAATGAGTACAGTGGCTGTTGTAAATGAGAATGTTGTGATTCTGTACAAGACAGAGGCGACAATTGAATCCGTCCGCCATGTGGCAAATTCAAACAGAAACCTTGATTATATGATGTGTATAATTATAATGATAAAAGGTGAGAGGTTCCACCCTGTATATACAACTTACGACGATACATGGTAAAAACTAGTCAAAATTGAGCTACGACATCTAATTCCGTGATTGTCTTCGACATTCAACTGTAGGCTCGAAACTCCGAACGAGGGGCGACGCTACCTATCTTGGGGGGCGAGATTACACTAATCAAACCTCTTCAGTTTAGAATGTATGTGCGATAAATGAGTGGCGATTCAATAATTTCTACATTCATGGGTATGTGAAACTCAGGGTAAACTAAAGTCGTGCAAACACCACTCGGAGCGCGTAAAGAGCAGCTTCTATAACAACCACGTAGTACGGGAACCTTTAAATACTCTTCATTATATTCTATATACGTCCACAAATAAGAGTCGGTTTGCTATTTCGGCATTTCTAAGCGACTAATTAAATGACGATTGTTAAATTAAAGGTTGACAGTCACAAATCGTGTCTCATCCGACAGACTCATTTACTCTGAAACCCACAGGCGACGTCCTTGATCATATTTTAGTTGTAGCAATTATAGCAGTCCATGTACTGTAATGGTCTATGATGACATGTCATAAGTTTGCCACAAAATGGCTACCGCGTACCACGTGATTCAGCAACCAATGAAAAATGAGACACCATATTGTTGACCTTTGATTATATACTACTGGTACTAGATAGCGCATTCTTTATGATAGAAGAGTACAACCAGTGTTCCAATTCGTGCAACCCAGATAGCTATAATTTTTCAGTGAAAAGAAATGAGATAAAAGAAAAAGTTGTACCAATTCGAATTGCGCATGCCAGGCGTTAATAAACCGGAAACTAATGGCGCTGTCCGTATAACAACAGCTGATTCTTTGCTTTGCTTCTTTATTTGCTTTATACGTTATTTGGGCTCTACCTTTAATTATTAATCGTGGTAATTCTGCGTAGTTTTTATGTTTGTAAAGAGAATAGTTCATAATATGCAATTAACATGAAGGTAAATGTTCACTCCGAAAATAGATGTAACGATTTCAACAGTCCGACTATTCCCGCGCGAAGTTTATCCCTTAAGCATGCGCATAATGATTTGGTACAAACATAAGTCTATCTCTTTTTTTGGAACATACATTTTAAGTGAATGCGCTGTCCAGTACTTACTATATAATCAAAGTTGTCGACATTGTCTTGTATAGCGTCACTGTAAATGAGAGTATATTTAAATTGTGAGGGAAAAAAGCGCAAAGACTGTATGACACTATGCATTTTCTTGCATCCTTTGTAATGATCCTAGAGACTAGAGAGGTCTCTCAAGCAGACACTGAAAATGTCTCCTTCTCTAAGGAAAATGTTAACTTACAGTTGGCAACTCTGATAAAATCTACAAGCAGAGTCACCTACCTTTCAAGCCGACACGACGGACGTTTCGCGATACTTTTGAATCTCGGTAGCATGCGGCCCAATAGGTACAGAGGGTACGAATGAACTCCTACGTTGTGTAATCGGGAAGGGAATTAAATAAAAGACAGGATTTTTGTCCTACCCACTTCCGACGTCCTATTCCCCCTGCGTTTGAAGTTTTAACACCACCAGTAAGATCTTATCGGGAGAAACCACATTCCCTTTGTCGGTACACGCTTCCAACGTCCCGTTCACCCGCAATTTGCATTTGATATTTTGACTTCACCATCAGGAAGATATTGTCGGGGGTAACCATACGTTCCCTTTATCGGTATCCGCTTCTGACGTCCCGTCTATTTCGCTCGCAGAAAACCCTCCACAAAATATAGTACTCAATTTTTGGGGCATTTCTCATAGCTCGAGAGACACGAGGAAAAGAGGCCGCGATTCAATCCTTAAGAAACTTTAAACCGCGTGACAAAATTCGCAGCGGAAGATACCTTTTGGGCGCCCGAAGTTGACTGCCCCTCAAAGACGCGCGCTTTGCAAAAGGTGGCTAAGCAAAAAAAACGAAATTCTGTCACACACATGATAGCTTCCCACAGGCCACATACAGTCTAAATCACAGGTCACGGTACTGTTGATAGCTACCGTTTTCAATAATGATCCATGGGCTTCAATGACATCACAGGCCACTAAAATTCAATGCCACTAATCCAAGTAAAAATGTCTACATAGGCAACACACTATACATTTAAATTATGTGTTGTAAAGTGTTACTCCTCGCTTAGCCGTAAATTTACCGCGTTTCACCTAAAAGATGCAATAGTATTGTTTTTTGAAACGTAAACAAATGATTTTCTTATAGAATAAAACAACTAGAGAAACGATGGACCAAGGGCCGGTTGCACAAACGTTTTGATCTGGCTTTCAAACTTTGACACAAAGCTAAGCTATTGAATAAAAAATTATATTCAATGGAAGCGTAATAGTATTTTACATTATTAGCCAGGTAAGTGAGTTTTTACTGGCGATAGGAGAAATTGACTGGCGAGCCGTCAGGCGAGCCTGTCATCTCCTAGAGCCAGTAAAAACTATTACCTGGCGTATAATGTACAATATTTTATTTGTTACTCATTTGCAAACGTAAATAATTAGTTCTTAAATTAATCTTGAAGAAATGTCTAAAATATCATGTTATCCATGTAACAGAGACTTCGCATTAATTCTGGCCAATGAAATTACTAGATTACTAACTTGTAAAATTTTTACAGATCTACAGGTCTGCTGTCAGTTTTACAAGTCAGTAGCGTTTAAACATGACGTTTACCCGTTTGCGTTTTGTCTTGTTAATCAACGTTTACAACTGAGTAACAAATAAATACTTTAACACTTGCATCAAAACTAATCCCGTGATAACACGTGATTATTTTTTTTGCAGCTGGACCTAAAAGTATTAGCGGTGATGGTATTTCTAGCTGCGTGGACAAATAAAATTTTTTGAAGCTCTGTAAAACGCGACTTCAGTTGAGTAGAAAATTTAAAAAATGACGCCCTAATAGATTAACTTTGTTATTGATGTATTTTTCTTAATTTTAGGATTATAATTACGTGCGTAATCCTGTGTAAAAACCGTTTAAATAGGTATAATGACTTTGATTAGAGGTAATAAAAGATAATGGTTATACAACAGTCTCGTTAGGCAACCCAAAAGGCACAACAAGTCAATAACCATTGTTTAAATTTCCGCGCGTTCCACTGAAGGATAACAGGGATTTTTAAGTCTGTCGCGAGATTGCAACTAATAACAAGAAGAATCCCTAGTTCAAAACAATTTATGTATCACATCATATGTTTGAGTGGCATAAAATGGTGTATATTTGAGAAGCCTTAAGTTCTGTTCCTTTTTTTTTTCAAAACACGACACAAAGGTAAAGTGCTTTGTTATTATCATTTAAAAGCCGAATTACTTAACGCATTACCTATCAATTAAAATAAAGTTTCTATTCCATTAACGTTTTTGTTTAACGTAAATAGCAAAATGCTTGATCACCATGCTCGTTTTGGACGGTTTGCAATGGCCGAAATTTGACCTATATATTTGAAACTTGTTTATTTACCTCATTAGCAGTGCGTTTTTGAATAATTCGGCAGGGAAACGGAGGCTTTCCGCTCTCTATTACGAGAGCAATTTCGAACGATTATTTGTTGTTATCATATTTCAAGGACTGCACCATATTTTAGCGATCCACGTATTGCAATTAAATACCTGCTAAAATCGGTACACGTGCTCGGATTTTCTTTCAATAACTTTCTTTGAGATCGCGGCGGATTAGGGTAACGTTTCCGTACTCTAAATTTGTTGTTTCTTTTGAAATGCTGCGGTGTCGAAAGTTGTTTATTGTAAACATTTTTTTATTCGCAATAGATCGGTGCCCGTCTTCTATTGGGCGACTAATAAAGAATGAACAACAAACAAATGTTTTTCAACCTACTTTGTGTAGAACCTTCGACATCGACAGTGTTTTGTAATGTGGTGGTGCAGAACGCGGACGAAAAAGTGGATTTCGCTTTCTGTTGCATTTTTGTGATTATAAGTAAAACCACTTTATTTGATAAGTTTATCGTGGAATATGAGCATAATTGTTGATAATTGGTTAGATTCAAACGTTTAACGGTTTCGTTTTTATTGTAAGTATTTTCTTTGAATATCACTCTTACGTCAAAGTCTCACGCGTTGCTATAGTAACGGTGACGCTACCGGCTTACGTTGCCGTCTGCGACGTACGTCATTGTGTTGTTGTGTGTTCTCGCGAGTTTACAATGCGGATCTGACATCGGCACTTGTACGAATTGCGCTTGCACTATTGGAAGTAGGTAACTAATAGTAACCTTGGGATTTTAAAAATAGGTTAATTTATTAAAAATATCCCCACGACTAAACGTGCGTACTATTATTTAACGTTCCCTTTTGAAAATGTGAATTGCGCGTGGATCTGTTATCTTTTATTGTATCCTTTGCGTCTTATTACGTTGTACTTACACTGATAAAAATTGATAATACAATTTAAATTATAATTAAAAGTCGGGGAGTTGTACGACACGCTCGAAATTCGTTTTTTAAAGCTAATTTTAGTATTAGGGCGTATATGTGGGGAAATGGGATTTGCAAATCCCACTTTAGACATTTGTGAATAGCAACGCTTATGACGACGCTCATTGCGCCCGTTGCTACGCGACACATCCCGCACGTGACGCCTCGAAATTGTCCAGACGTCGCTAGTCTTTACGAAAGAACGAAACTTAACACTTGACACAGTCTTGTATTTTATTAGTTTTCTTTATAAGATTATTCGGGGAGAAAATTAATTAAATGCATTTCCACGTGCTGTTGATGTTTACGATTATTAGTTAATTAAACCATTGAATGAACATTAAAAATCATGAAGTTCATAAATCTTTTAGTAAGTACCAGTCCCCGCTCTTCCGTATTGTACCTACTGAGTGCATGATGTGTAGAAGAATAAAGTGAGGGTTTTTTCTTATTGCGTAAGTAATTCCGGGTAACATCCGTATTTTCCCAGCCAGATTGCGTTATTTGGTGTAACCGAAACGTAGACAAATGAATGAATGTTGTGTATACGAACAAAGCGCAAATTTTCGTATTTTCCCACTTTGCAAGTTATGGATCGATGTTCAATGTTTTTGGCAGTAATAAGTGACTCCCACTTTAAAAATAACATATTTCTTAAGATTATGTAAAAATGCGATTTTTTGCCAATTATTACACTGTAAAATTCACATATTTTGTCACTTTTTACCAGGTAATTGACCATTTTACCAATAATACCCTCACCACAAACAATTTTGGTACCTTAACGAACTGTCACAAAAGAAAAGTCCTAGGCATACCGCATAATAAACGATGGAACTGCCCGAGGTGTTGGAACGAATCTGAATGTTACATAGATGTGGGCGATGGTGACCAAATTATTGCTTTGTAGGAATTACAAAATGTTTTATTGAAAACCTTGAATGAATATGATACAGAATACCGTAAGTAAGCGATTCAAAAAAAATCAGCGTCATAGTTGGCGGTGAATCGGTGATAAGGTATTTATCGCGAACGAATCTCGATACACTTGTCAGATGAACCTGTCAATTTATTTCCGTTCCACCCCCCATATCTTAGTAAATAAACGAGATATTTAAAAAAATCAAAATCCGTTTCGGTAATTCGGAGGGGGAATCACAATGACATAGTTGGCGACGCACCCCTCACACCCCCTGCGCCCTAGCCACCCCAACTTTTAAATCTTAAATAGGGACTCCCCATGTGTGATACGTCATTGGAAAGCTCTGAAAAAATGCTTTCCAACCATACCAAATAGCATTACATTTAGGTTAGTAATTATCGTGCAAATCAAAAAATAAACATGGAAAATCGTATTTAACTTGAACTTCCAAAGCCGACTCGACAGCAACTCATTTTTGATCGCCAGTTATAATCTATTCTCAAACTCTTGTCGAACCTTTCCAATGTTGGTTTTGCAATATTTCGACATTCTTGAATTATTCTCTGTCTTAGTTCGTCTATGTTCGCCGGTTGCGTTTTAAATACGGCAGATTTCAAATGTATCATATTAGTTTATTTTTTGATTTGCACGATAATTACTAACCTAAATGTAATGCTATTTGGTATGGTTGAAAAGCATTTTTTCAGAGCTTTCCAACGACGTATCACACATATCCATCGATTTGAAAGAGAACGGATGGATCGATTACGATGAAATTTTGCAGGTGGATTCTTTATCAAATTTGGAGATCGAGTGTCGTGAATTGGCAATGTAGACCGAAAAATAAGTAAGCTCCTTTCCTTTTGACGTCTCCGTTAGTTATGAATCGAATTGCATGAAATGTTGTATGTAGGCACCTCGTATAAAGTAAAAGTAATGCCGAATCAAAAAAGTTATTTTGCGCATGCGCAATCCGATTCTTTATTTCTCAAGATATTTAAATGACATTTTGTATGTAGACATCTCTAGTGTTCACATATTCAAATGATGTGTTCATCTAAGAACAAGAGGCATCCATTAAACCTAATGTGACGTTCGGTTCTGAAGATGTGTGTAATGAAAGAGATCTGTAATGAGAGAGATCGGCTTCCAGGATTTTTTCTCAGCAACTATAGGAGTTACAACGACGGATGGCACGGCTTTGAATTGGTTTTGGTGTATGTCCTTTCCGATTTTGCAAAATTTTTTTCAAAATTTCTACCACGAGAGGGCATACCGCTAATTGGGGGTGGGAAAAAAATGTGGGCATCTGGGGGTTTTTGAACATGAAAATCAGGAATCTGAAATTAGTTTTTGAAAATTGGAACAAAAAAATTCCACTGCAATTCTTGGGTGGACAATGAAAATGGAGAGAATTCCAGGAAATTCAGTTTTTTTAAATCACTTTTCAAATACAAGTTCTAGTAAAAGTTATACTCATTTGAAGATTGGTTCTTCGGGTCAGAAACTGTCTCCCTCCTACTAGCTGTTTGACATTTTACTCCGATGTAAGCCAACAATTTATGAACTCTGTACCTTCTTTCAATAAATTTATAAGTTTTTAAAATTGTATAGTCGTTTTTGAATCACTCTGTATATTGACTTAAAAATGGATGGTTTTAATACTTTGTTAAACTCTTCATGCGTAATAGTTTTCCTTACAGTGAACCTCGCGGTGTGAGACTGCTTATGGTCTGTCCCTAAGCAATATATAGACCACTTCATTTAATGTGATATAATATTTTACGCGCTCTAGTTTACTCTGAATTACTTTGTGTTTCACCTATGTTTGGGTTCTGTAAGTTTGTTAATATTTGGATTATGCTTAATTTTCACAGATAGTAGCAATTGTTTCTTGATAGTTTTCTTAAATAATTAAAGACGTTACATAGTTTTCGTTTCGTTCATTTTAGATCCTAGGATTTATCTTATTTTCTAGCGTAGAATCCAATGTTGACGATCAGTACTTCCCAAAAGGCCCTGCGCTATGTTTTTCATTACTATTAGAAGCGTGTCAATAAATAAGAAAGTTGACATTGCACAGTCTGCGCATGCGCATACTAATGGTCAAGTTTTTTTCTTTGCTCAGATGCCAGAGTTATAAACCACCGAATGCAAAAAAGAACGAATTAAAGATCTTGAAAACTAGGAGTAGTTACGGCCTCTGACAAAGAAAGTGGGTGCAATAGCGCACCCAACATCGTCGGAAAATGCGCTAACAGGGAGGTTTTCATTAAAAAAATGTATTGTGAAATTTCCGAAATTTGAAATGAAGTCCTTACGGGTTATATGAGATCCTATTTACTTACACCACTGGTCAAATATATCGCAAATGACTTCTCACCTGTCCATGTATTCAGCTACTTTGAAGTGAAGGGGTTTATGTGCAATATAATGGATCATGGTAGTTAACGGGACACATGAAAGTTGCCACAATGAAGCATCGGTTACGGATTTTTTTTTTGTGAAGCAGAGGTCGAGTTGAGGGTACGACTGAAGGTTATTCCAAGGTAGAAAATATCTGAAATGGTGAGTAAGTTTGATGTGGTGCCCCCTCTACTCGCTGGAGTGTCAGATATAGGATTGGAGCAAGCCAGGAATTCTGGGATATGACAGCTTGATCTTGTAGATTATATTGAAGAATTACTGCGAGGGTACATTTTCCTAGGATAAAGGCTTTGGTGTGGATTTTCAAAACGAGGTCGTGAGTGGAACGAGTTGGACAAAAACCGCACTGATTAGAAGTAGTGCTGCAACGGAAGTGCTATAACTTAAGCAGAAGCGGAAACAGAAGACAAAATAAGTTCTTTTGTGGAAGCGGAAGTGAAAATACTAGTATAAATTTGATAAAAACTAGAACAAGTAAAAAGGTTTTCGCCCTAAGGCTATGGCTATGTTCTTCTTTACTAGAAGCATCTATGGTTAAAATTTCAAAGAAATATCTTCATAAATGAGGAAGTTGGCACTGCGCATGCGCATATCTACCGTTTACAATATGAGACATGTTTGCCTTTAACAAAAGCATCTGTGATTAAAATTGCAAAAAGATAATACCGATATATAAGGCAGTTGATATTGCGCGTCCTGCGCATGCGCACATTAATCTGATGTCTGCAATATGTGATACCTTTACTTTTACTAAAAGCATCTTTGGTTCAAATTTCTAAGAAATATCTCCATTCTCCACAAATCAGAAAGTTGGCATTGCAAAGTCTGCGCACATGCGATATGTTTGCCTTCACTAGAAGTATCAGTGGTTAAAATTTCAAAGAAATATCTCCATAAATAAGAAAGTTGACATTGCGCAGCCTGCGCATGCGCACATTAATCATCAAAATTTTTCTTGCCTCAGGAGCTAGAGCTATAAGCTACCGGATTACAAAAGAATGAACTAACTATATTGAAAACTGTAGGAGTAGTTAAGGTCTCGGACGGAGAAAGGACTGCAATAGCGCGCCCGACTTCGTTGGAAAATGCGCTAATAATAATTAGTCTAAAAATGTAGTGTATTAAACTATGCGATAAAACGCACGAATTGTTGCGACGAACTAATGAGATGAAAGAAAGTAAACAAAGACACGTCGGACGACCGACTCGGCTGACAACCGCTGCTTACGTCACGCGACGCCCCATTCT